TCTCTCTCTCTCTCTCTCTCTCTCTCTCTCTCTCTCTCTCTCTCTCTCTCTCTCTCTCTCTCTCTCTCTCAACACCCTTCCCAAACTACCTCCACCGACACCAACAAAAGAAGATAGCCACACACCCTAAAATCGAGAAGAGAAGCATCGCCGCACCCAGGACGATGACAACGGCAATGATGCCTGCGAGGACAACCCAAGGTGGGATTTTGGGACCGCTACCATAGTAGCAGCGAATGTCGATGACAACAACATGCATGCAAAAACCCTGACGGCGGTCGTCACACGTGGAGGCCTGCCAACAAGGAAGAGCACCCGCAATGTGGCGAGGAAGGGGTTGTGGAGTGGCATGCACGTTCTCACATGCCCCCCAACCTACCTCCCGTCTGCTGATGTCTGTGTCTGGCGACGACACACACACACCTTGTCTGGAAAGCCGGACGACGGGAGATGGCAAAGCACAGAACCGCGGGACGATGGCCCGTGTGACATGCACCGTTCACTGCGATAAGTTCACAGGCTTTAGATTCACAACAGGACAGGACACAGGATGCACGCATTGCACGGGTTGTCTTCCACGCTGCCGTCCACAGAAAACAGTCCGTACACCTTCGACAACACTACAATGCAGCTCACAGACAGAGATTGTGTGATGACGGCACCATGAACGACAACCCCGCACAAAGACTTCACGCCCTGCACGTGCGAACGACATCAGCGATGGCATCGCAGCACGCACGTCACCACAACTGCAGACGAAGAAGATGATGTTGACGCCGGTGTGTTCGAAGCATCAATGCAATATGGGAGTCATGCACACACAGGGACGAAGGTCACTATGGCATGGCTGGCCGCTGTTCTCACCCCGCAAAAAAAATTGAATTTGAAATTCTGTCGACCGCGTCAGAGCCGTTTAAAAACAGGGGGACGTGGAACTGGCCCCTTCCCACGGGCCCATGTGCCAACCATGCGACAACAAACGGGTTGTCCACAGCGGCATGCTGGTCCAGAAAACGGTCCCCTCCACCGCTGCCTGGACCATGCCCTCCGGCCTTCCGACGCCATTGGAGAACATGGCCAGCCCCCTGCTCTGCAAGGAATACTGCAACTCGGCCGCGATTTTCCAGACCGCCTACCATGTAGAAACCCCCCGCCAGCATTTGGGCAACCTGTTTCCATTTCCATCAGCGGTCGGGTCTGGAAAGCCTTTCCAAAGAGGTTTTCCAGACCTCTTTCCATGACCAGTGGGGCCTCCAAAACGATGGAGCGCCTTTTTTTCCCCAAGCCGCCGGCCAGTGGGGGCCAGAAAGGTAGCCGGCCAGTCGGGTCCCCTGTTTACGTTTAGTGATAGGTACTTAGCGAAAGGAGAATTTGAGAGAAGAACATAGCTTATCCGACGCTTGAAGGGTCCAAGCACCGGCGGCCCAGTAATCGGCTGAGGAGAGCTCCCCACAACACACCACGGAAAGCCGCCGGTCGGCGGCCCTGTTACAACGGGTACACGAGGGGCAAAAGAGAAGCGGTCGGAGCATGCCTCGCCAGTTCAGTTCCGGCGATGCGGAGACGTCGAGGGTTCAATCCCCGACTGACAGGCGGGACATGCCGGCATGCCTACGGCTCGCCAATTACAAATCATTGATGAAGGGTCTCGCCGCACGGCACACGAAACGAAAACGAAACGAGTGCATCTGCCCACGAAAGGTGGTAAAATACAGTCGTCACTATTTATAGAAAATAGATGAACCTGGCCATTTTATGCAGGAAGATGCAGTCGTTTCGTTTTTCGTTTCGTGTCCCGTGCGGCGACGCCCGAAGTCGATCATATTCATCCGCTCCCGCGCCATGGTGTGAATGAGGTTCCGCTGGCGAGGGTCCAGGCGTGTCGGGATGATCGATCGCGAACACGTCGACAAGTCCCGTCAGCGCGCTTCCCTCAGCCGCGGGAAAAATGTAATCGTGAAATTCGACTGTCCCCGGCAAAAATGTAATCGTGAAATTCGACTGTCCCCGGCATCGTTTACGTTCGCTCAACACTTTCAAAGTTGTTCGCTCTCTCCGCATGTGCATGCCGGCAAATCCTTGGTTGTGGGCTCCTGCGCGGGAACGCTTTCACCGTCCCAATCGCTCCCTCCCGCGCCTGCATATGCCAGCCAGCCCAGCGTGGCCGCTTTCGGAGGAAGCTCGTCGCTCTCGCATGCTTTTGCTGGAAGCTGGTGCGGGCGACGTGCCCACCCACGGCGCGGCCGTCAACTTCCGCGTCCTAGCTTTTCGGCGGGAGAGGCTTGTTTTGATTCAGTATCTATAATAAAGTCTACTACGAGGTTTCGGTTTCTGTATAGTCTACTACGAGCTTGTTATAAGGGCGGACAGCCTCGTCCCTTCAACAGCATCGGCGTTAGCGGCGCAGGAGGGAGGAGAGAGGCACGACCTTTCAGACTTTTCGGTCTGGGTGTGGCCAAGCTTGGCGCAGGGGTGGACGGGAGAGCGGCCAAAAGGAGTCGAGTGGTCATTTTGGCCAGTGGATGACAATGACGGCGTCGTACATCGCGGCGGCTACCAGAGCCGCCGCTTCTGGGCTCTGTACCTCTGCGGCTGTTTGTGTGACTGGTCGCGAGGGTGCCAATAGCGGCGGTTGGTTTGAAGGTTGGGCTAGGAGGCGAGGTGGAGGGGGAGGGGGAGGAGGTCACGTCTCTGCGTTTTTTCTGTCCCCGGCGACGAAGACGAAAAGGTGGAGCGATGGTGGAAGGAATGGCGGCGGCGAGGGCGAGAGGCTTGGATACTGCAACGACAACGGTGCTTTCCTACGCTACCCAGATGCTGCCACGTCGGATCGAGATGATTATTCGACTCTTGGGACGTGTCAGATTTCATCGGCCATTGGTTGGGGACTAAGGACGAGCTCGAACACGAGATCCAGACCAAGAAAGGTGAGTCGCCACAGCCGGCAGTTGTCCAACAGCAGCAACTATTTTGCAGGAATCGCCACGTCTACCATTCCCGCGTTGTCCTCATCCTCGATTGGCGGGTCGACTGCTGCGGAATCGCCAATAGTCGTTGATCCCGTAGAGGAGCTTCATCGGCCGTTGGATCACGTGTTCGAGGCCCAGCAGTTCGACAGAGAATTACTAATGAAGCTGTTCGATCTGACGAGGCAAATGGAGAAGATTACGCCCAATTCTTCAGGCTCTCGAATGCTCGAAGGCTTTATAATGGCGACTTTATTTTATGAACCATCAACTCGGACGAGGCTATCTTTCGAGTCAGCGATGAAGCGCCTCGGGGGGAATGTGCTGACGACGGAAAATGCGCGTGAATTCTCTTCGGCGGCAAAAGGGGAGACGCTCGAAGGTGGGTAGGGAGCCAAGCACATTGTCGTTATCTCTCTGTTAGCGTACCTGTTATGGTCCTGTGCCTGTCACGGAAAATGCCCCCCCATTTTTTTCCAGTTCTTTTCAACTTCTTTTTGTTTTTTTTTTCCAATTCTTTTGTGCTTCTGCGTCAAGCTGTCTTAGTGCGAAACTCGTCGGCATTCCCGATGATGTGTTGTATTACAACTAGCGTGCGTGCCGTCGAAGTCGATCATGGAAAACATCATGCCATTGGAGTTACCGATGGCGCCATTGTTATTATTATTGAATCTAAAGTTTTCTACGAATTGATTTGTTCTTATCCATACTGTCGATTGTCGCTTTTTTGGGGCACTGGTGTTGCTCTCGATCTTGTATCCGAAAGCAAAAAAGAAAAAGAAATGGTGGACAACATGGGATGAAATGTTAAATCGCAGGATAAGACAGTTCGGCTGATTTTCTTTTTGGTTGAAGGCTATGAAAACTGACGCCTTCCTTGTCGCTCACCTCTTGCGTGTTGTCGGGTCCCTCTCCGTGCTCCTATTTTTTTTTGCCGTTTTTAATGTATTTTTCTTTTTTTTCGAGTATAATTTGTAATATATGTCGCTTTTTCGCTATCCCAGCTGCTCATCTTAGTCTTCGTCCACTATTAGAGGAGCGAAGACCAAGAAGGAAAACCGGAAAAGGAAACCGAATAACCTCGACAGGAGGAGGCAATATTGTTCCCTTCCTCCCCGGGCATCTTGCTTCCGTTTTTTTTTTTTTTTTTTTTTAGCAGCTCTCCTAGGGACTCCGATATCTTGCCGTCTTGTATTTTTATTTTTTATTTTTTTTAGCAGCTCTCCTAGGAACTCGTCTCCTACGGTAGGGCAGAAATCGAATTACGTGTGTCGCAACGGAAGTGTGTAGAGGGATGCTAGCGAACGCAGAATCATGATGCCGCCGCAGCAGCAGGAGAAGCAGAGAGAACGCAGATGCATGCAGCAGCAGCAGCAGCAGCGGGAGGAGGAGGAGGATAAGCAGCAAACAGCAGATCAGTGAATTTGGTGTTGAATACTCGGGGGGTGTGGCCTGGATTAGGAAAGATCTGGCGCCGACTTGTAGAGACTTACCGTTATTATCTATGTACCGCACTCTCGTTGAATAACTCGGATGGAACTGTAGTCGTTTCCGGCCGGCAAGAGGAAGACAGTGAGGGAAGAGAAGCTGCAGTCTGAAGGGGAATTATGTCCTTAGTAATTCGTGCACATGATGAAAGGCTACTCCAGTTACATTCGAGAACATAGTAACGGTAACGAATAGTAACATATCGTATAGTGGCGATAATAGTAGCGTTCGGAAGCAAAATCGTAGGAAAATTTCAAGTACCGCAGCGACCGCATCGACTCGGTACAGGTGGCCTTTATTGTTTTAGAGATAAGGAATAATTGCTGGGTTTCAGAGACAAGGAATGATTGCTGGGTTGCTGAGGTCATTTTGATAGTTTTCCCATGCTGCTGCTGTTAGTGTAACCGCTTATAGTGATGGCAGTAGTGGATGATGTGTCTCTATTCGTCAAGTTTAGAACCAATAATCAAGCCTCTTTCAGGAAGCTGTTGCGATTACGAAAAGGTTTGAGACCTCTTGCTATGGTAAGCATCTGACTCTTGAAAAAAACAGCGATGAAGATCAATGGTCATGGTACAGATTTCATTACACGTGTACCTGGGAAGTATAGTCGAAAGATGATAATTATGATGGCTATGACGATTGTTGATGATGATGATGGTTAACAAGCATGATAGGAGACGTTAATCTCCATAAGGACGCTCAACAGACATTGAGCTGCTTTGTTTTTTGACAACTGATCACTTACAGAAGTCTCGATGTGAAAATTTTGTGGGGATCTTGAAAATGTTAACTGTCTATCTGGTATCTGGTAGTTAATCTATGTAATCTATCTATACTGGTTTTCTCCGATTTTTCAACATTGATCTGATCTGCTACTATGTATTAATCTATGTAAGCTCTCTGAGTTTGCTTCGATTTTTGCATCATTGATCTATCTGTGCAATCTAAGCAAAAATTATGGTTTATCCACCAGTTGCATTTTGCGGCAACCACGCTGATATATGTGTATGCGCAGCAGCACCTGATTTGATGCGGTACAGCGAATGTATTCTGCTCATCACGCTATCATTTACATCTGCCCATTGTTTCTCCCATTCAGGTGCATGATTCGCACGTGCATTGTTTTCCCATCCAGGAGCATGATCTGCATGTGCATTGTTCTCCCGTCGAGGTACACGATCTGCAAGTGCACTGTTTTTCCGTCCAGGTGCATGATCTGCATTCTTCTCCCGTCCAGGTGCATGATCTGCGTTGTTCTCCCGTCCAGGTGCATGATCTGCGTTGTTCTCCCGTCCAGGTGCATGATCTGAGCGTGCATTACTTTCCCGTCCAGGTGCATAATCTGCACGCGCATTGGTCTTCCGTCGAGGTGCATGATCTGCACGTGCATTACTTTCCCGTCCAGGTGCATGACTTGCATGTGCATTACTTTCCCGTCCAGGTGCATGACCTGCACGTGCATATGTTTTTCCGTCCAGGTGCATGATCTGCACAGGTGCACGATCTGCACGTGCATTGTTCTCCCGTCTATGTGCATGATCTGCATATGCATGTTGAAGAAATTGGCAGGAGATACAGACGGCCGGATTATCCGACATTACGGAAACCGCTGGGCCTGCCTACGTTAATCGGTTTCCTTCGTTTTTTTGCGAGATCGAGTAGACCTTTAACGTTAGTAAACCCGTGGATCAGGCGCCGCACCTATCCACTGTCCCGTCAGCAAGAAGGTAATTCCTGTCTTTGGGAGTTGCGACCGTGTGTTTTGGGTTTATGTAGTGAATACTGGCCACCTTTTTTTTTCCCTTTGTGTTCATGGCCTTTTGGTAACGTATTGGATGAAAAGAATAGTGCGGTTAATTAAACTGTGCGTCACGCTGAATGGTTGGTTGGTTTCGTATGGACCGGTGCTTTTGCACTGAAAGGTTGATTTCATTTCGTATTAATAACCACTGTCGCTGAAAGGTTGATTTCATAACGTGATGTCGAAGGTTCGAGAACCGATATTACTGGCAATGTGAAAGGATGTGTGTCCGCCCCTCTGAACTCGGCCTTTATGTCTCCACGATGAAGGGAGAATTTCGCTGCGTCAAGAAAAGAGTGCCAACTGTATTTCCGTTTTTCTCACCTATCCGTGCCCCCTCGATTACTCTCCTAGCTCTCCTCCATTCTGCTGCTAATGAATCTCCTTACTGTCTCCAGTAACTCAGTCTTCCCTTTACACTATACCTGTCATCCACGTGGCTGGCCTTGTACGTGAGAGGTGATGAACAGGGGGAGCTTTCCTTCTTTCCTTGTTTGTTTTGTTCTTTTTCGCCTTTGCGCTCGGATACACGGTGTGACGATATACTCTCCGGCGTTGCTAGCTCTCATCTCTTGCAGATGATGCGGCTAGCCGTGGGCCTGTACGAGCAGGCGCATGCGCTTCCTTTTGGCAGATTTTACCGTCTTTCTTTTGAAAGAAGAAGAAGAAGTAGAAGAAGAGAAAATAGAAGAAGCGGTAGAAGAAGGGGAAGAAGGGTTTGTATCATTGCCCTCTTTTCTGTTATCCACCGGACAGCCGGGTCTGATCTGGCGGGTTGGCGCATGGTTGACGAACGCTGTCGACATGCCAGAGCAGGCTGTCGGTAAGACAAACCCGGCAGACTAGCATCAACACGACGTTGAGAGGGGGCAGATGAAGAAGAAGAAGAAGAAGAAAACGAAGAAAAGGATGATGAAGAGGAAGAAGAAGAATAGTGAAAACAGGGGCCAACTACCTTTCGTACATGCTTCGAAAGCTCTTCAATGCATAGCCGCGCAAACTAATCTCAGCTTATGCGCACATTCCCTGACGCGTTTCGATCGGTTGCGCCCCGATCATCCTCAGGGGGCTTTCCCCATGACCCTGCCTTGTGGCCCACCAACAGTCCTCCCATCCTACTGAGCATACAGGGCCAATGTGGGCTTGCCCTCTTATATGCTGTACACCAAGTTGTAAACCTAGCGAGCATGGTAACCCACATCCCCAACGGGCATTTTCTGTGGAGTCTTTCCAACGTTCACTTCCCTCTGTCGAGCTTCTCTTTCCTGACTCTAATTTCTCATTGGACCGGTACCTGCAGCGTGGATCGTAATCTTCACTCGGTCGTCCAGTCAGTGACATGAGTGTGGCCCGTGGACTACACACTTTCAAAGGTTCTCGTTCCACTACCCTCGACTTGAAGAATATCTCAAGGGCAGCCCTACACTAATCCTCCCATTTTGCGCATATCTTGTTCATCAGACATTGCATGAATCACAGAACCTGCACTCAAAAAAAGTAATGCTTTAAAAAGAGCATGGTTCATCAGATGAAATACACTCACAGAATAATTGGAGATACCACAAGCGAATACCATATAACCTAATTGGCTACAAGTAGAATAAGCAATAACCCTTTTTAAATCATTTTGTAAAATTCCTGTAGTTGCCGCAAAACGGGCTGCCCTTGAGCCAAAACGTAATTAAAAAATACTAGAGGCCGTGTCTTGGTTCGACTACACCCTGCAGTTCCCGCTCGCACAAGGAGTGGGCAAATGTGCGGCCCGGTTCGTTACAGAATTTTCACGAGGTTGTTACTGGTTTTGGTCCAGGGGACATGGGAATGTCCGCCTTGAACAGCGTTGCAATTGGAATTTTTGTTCGCGGCCTTGAACAGCGTCGCGATTCGAATTTCTGTTCACCACCCAGGTCCGTCTGTGGACCAGGACAACCGCCATTTGGAAAAAAAAAAAAAAAAAAAAAAAACGGACGGGGGTACTGCACGGAATTTCTAACTACCTGGCAGCGCATGTTGGGGCCGTTTTCAAGGAACGTCGAGGAAAAACCAGTGGGCCGTGGGAGGTGACTTGAAACTTGCCTGCAGACCCTACG